AAATTCGATTTCCCAATAGCACTAGCTTTTGCTTTGGAGTTCTTTAGAGAGTAATCAAGAAAAAAAAGTTGGTAGAAGGTCACACACAAAAAGGTGTTGGATTATATTATTTTGATGAAAAAATATAGTTTCCTAATATTCCATATATTGTGTATAAAAACCATATTCTAAACCAACTGTCACTTTCCTCGAGGGGTGGGGGAGGAGCTAAAGTAACACAGGAAGTTTAATGGGATTCCCTTTGCCGAAAAATTATATTGCGTAAGTAGGAAAAAATAATCATATTTGTATATATATAAATTGTTAAATTTACTTAACATAAAAAAAGTTTCTAGTGTAGTGACAAGGTTATATAGGGTATTTGGACTTGCCGAGATAGTTTGGAAATTGGAGGAGTCCCGAGGGGCTCGCATGAGTTTCGGAGTGATTTTAAATTATCTTATGGGTAACTTAAAATTACTTTTAAGTAGTAATAGGTTTGAGTCCCAAGTGTGCTGCTCTTGCTTTTTCTATTCCCCTTGCTAGAATTTCTGGCTCTGCCACACTGGAAGATAGGGGCTCTGTCTTTCTGTACCTTATTGAGGTGCTCAATTTCTTACTATTACAAATATGATGGTATATGAGGATTTCAGCTGATGAGTGTAATTAATGTGTACTACAGAATTCTTAATTCATAAAAATCTTCTATTTTGCAGATAGCAAAGAAGTAGTAGCAGAACAACTTAATAATCATAATGTTCATGAAAAGACAGCAATAGATGTTAACAGCAAATATGGCCATACTGAAGCTCATTTTGGTGGTAAAGGAGGAAATGGAGGGGAAGAATCTCGATCTCCTTCGAATCAGGGATCGTCGAATGTCATACCAATTTACGCTGCAAATGCTCACCACAATCACCATCGCGGTGCTGCAAGCTGCCACGGAAACCACAATGAATATCTAGCCTTCGTCGCTGCAATGTTCTTCGCTTGCATTGTACTTAAAGACCCTGTGTTTATTGAGTAAAAAGAGAGTACAACGTAGTCATTCTGAATCCCTGACTCGTCTCGTTTTGAGCCTTTGGCCTATATGACATTGGGTCAAATCTGTCTAGTGATTGTTGTGTACTCTGTTTGTTTCAACTTTGATTAGTTGTGGATGTATTAGGATGTTTATGTCTTTTTGTTTCCTTTTTTTTCCTACAAAACTTCCATTGTATAACATGTTGATTGGATAAGCTTTATAGTTCTGTATTCAGGATTTTATCAGCTTATTTTTCTTCTTTTTTTCTGCGGGTCTATTCACTTACCTATCGATTGATACTAGCTGATAACAATGAAAAGTGGAATAACTTGTTGAGAACTAGTTTAATAGACCTTAGGAGTTATGAGAAGTTCAAGATTTGTAACTATTTGAATGCAATGTAAACTGATTCAGACACTACTTTTATCGAAAGAAAAAAAAAGTATACAAAATAAGCATGACAAGATTGTGATTTTCCCTTATTTTTATTTTATTTGGTTAAACCAAATAATTTAAATTTAATAGATAAAAAGTAAAGTCAGCATTATTGGCGCAGTCTCGCTTTCTGTTGGTGGTAGGTTTTTATGACTAACTATTATTTTCCTTCATTGTTGATCACCTTGCTGTCTTGTTTTTATTTTACTTTTATATGTCTTTTTGGTACTGTCCCTTCTTATCTATATTTTTCATTAATGTGGTGCTTATGCTTTCAGTCTCTCTATCCTCACAAGGTAGGGGTAAGGTCTGCATACACACTATCCTCTCCAAATATCACGGTGTAGGATAATATTGGGTATGTTGTTGTTGTTGTAATTAAAAAGTAAAGTAAGAACATAATGTAATTATGATTAAGTAATAAATGTGTTCATGTAAGATATGTGTCTTGCATTTATTGGTTTGATATAAATACTGAGTGAGGAATAGTGTATAGATTATTCAGAAAGTCCCTCAACAACAACAGCAAGCCCAGTGTAATTGCACAAATGGGGTTCCACAAATGGGATTTGGGGAGGGTAATGTGTACGCAGACCTTACTCCTACCTTGAGAAGGTAAAAGACGATGTTTCCGATAAACGCTCGGCTCGAAGTCAAAAAGTAATATATCCTGATTATCATGAATTTTACCACAAAAGGACAGATGTTCCAATCACTTCTCCAAGGAATCTTTAAAGTTAAATCAAGTGGACAACTTCATCAGCATCTGCTATATTTCTAGAATACTAGGAAACCCATACCATAGGTGAAAATCAAGATGCCCCAATTGCCTAACACCAACTACTATAAACTTATTATGTCAAAGAGTAGTATATATAAGCCATCCAATTATAGTCCACTGCATTTTTATAAGAAATACACATCAGATTATACGTTTTCTAAGCTTTCTTTTTATCCTGTTTTGAATTCAAAGGCATTATCTATATAAACTAACCTTTCCCTTTTAGGTTTTAAACCTAACTCATAGGCAAGTGCATGTATTTTCCTACTTAGATTAGTAGACAGACGTGCCCCATCTGCTACTTTGTTCTAAAAGAATCAATCTTCCCTTTTGTTTTTTGTCATAGTTAGTTATCATTCTTTTATTGGAATGAATACTAAAAGAGATAGGAATCAAGAAACTAAATAGTACTCTGCACCTAACTTTTCGGGAGGGTGGAGCTGGAAGTCCAGATACGGATTCAGCCGAACCCAGAAGTTTTTGCACAAAGAGCGTATTCGTATTAAAAAGTTCATTAAATATATACATATATCAAATTTAGAAATCAGTTATTAGCATAAAGTGAAATCCTGATTCTGCCTATGCTTTCCAGCCATAGATTTGTGGTACTTAGTTCTAATTCATCAAGAAATGAGAAAATGCTTGTGAGATTCATTCCTTCTAGTGGTGGGAAATGTGGAGTCTCTATCTTTTCTTCCAGCAGTCAAAGGTAATGTGCCTTTTGAATTTAATAGTGATTTGTTCAAAGTACCTGCCTATGTTAGGTTCAACAAGTAAGATCCTTCACCTTCAAATGTTTGATATAGAAGGGAAGTGAAAATCCATCCTTCCTCCTTTTTGTCTCCCAGTTATAAGGAAAATAACTTTCGTCAATAAGCGTGAAGAGTCATCTTTCCCCTTGTGATGAAAAATGATTTTTCTCGGAGAAGTTTTTTAGTAATCAAATACTAGAAAAATAACTTTTTTTTATGCAAAATATTTTCCTGAAAAACGACTTTCATCGCAGAGTAACTTACCTATTTTTATACTTAATTCTTCTTGCTTATACTTCCTAAACAAATATTTTACTTTCCCTGTTGGAACTCCTCTTCTTTTATTTCTTTCACCAGAAGAGAATTGATATATGATTTCTCCACAATATCTACTCAAAGTTCAAGATTTGAAAAGAACTTATTCTCATCCGATGCATACTTTGATTTAAATGTGCAACATAACCTTAAGCAGAAAATTCAAACTTGGCATATAGTATAGGTCATTTCTTTCCACATCTAAAATTCATGCTCAGAATCAAGTATTTAACTCCAAAATATCCAGACATAGAGATTGTTCGGGGAATAAAGGGCGAAAATTTAAGGACAGTTGTGAAGACAAAACATAGAGAAGCTACTTTCAAACGTTTGTGGATCATAAACTTAAGAGAAATAAGCCCAGAAATGTTTCAAACAACTCATTCTCGCTTTAGATTAAGGGTGCCTAAACGTGAAGAAATCCTCAATGAGGTGGAACTGTCCTTTTGTATCTGAGTTCTAAAGCTAGAAGCAAGGTATGTGGAAAGAAGATACATCAAACACCACACATGAAAAGAAGCCCAGCTACGAGTTCAGCCGAACCCTGAAACTTCGCTCAAACAATGTATTTGTGTTAAGGAATTCATTAAATATGTACAAATATTAAATTTAGAACCCAGTTATAAGCACTTGAAGTCATCATTCTAACATTCATAAACCATAAAGTTAAAATCTTGACTCCGCCTCGGTATGAAATAACATATAATATAAGTGATTCTGAGTAAGAAAAGTCCAAAAGTATGATACCTCAGGTTAATCAAGATAGGTCTCCATTTACACTTGGATATTTGGTAAGAATGGCCAATACTAAATGCTTTTTCTACCTGATTGATCTGGGAATCTAAGAACTATAGGAGTAGTTGTCAACTCATTCCTAGGACAACGCCATTAGATATCTAACCATTATAAAGATCATCTAGCACCCTATACTCTGAAAAAGAAAGAAAAAAAGGAACAAATACGTCATTCGATTAAAGGACAGCCCTGTGCACAAGGGATCCCGTCATTCGATTATTTTTTTTAATGGACGAGACAGATCTGGGTATACGCACCGGGAAAATTCAGCAGCTACATCCTATCTGAGATGTAATAAGGAGTTTAACCTATGTGAAATATGACAATGAAAAATGGGATGATCGTAGTTCTTTAAGATGCTATTTGTCTGCAGAAAGCAGAAGATATTCCAGGAGCTGCAAGCTGGACTCGGCGAGTACAAAAACTGTGGTATCCAGAGAGAAAAAGTATGAATAATCCTAAATGATGTTATGACATTTTACAAATCTGGTCAACACTTTTTTCAATCAGCTAGCAGGTATTTAACAAAGTAATCTAATCACCATCAGGAAAGGATGTCGAAGGAACCAATTTCACTGTTCTAGTTTAGATTAGATGAATGAGGTTTGAAGCAACGGTTCTCATCCTATGAAAAACTGTGAATTGTGTCCTTCAAAACTGTGAGAGGAGTTCAAGCTTACGAGCTTGGAAGAATTTGCAACGACCTTTCCCACTTGACTCGATATCTTCACTTCTCCTCTTTACACCTGTGAAACCAATATCAGTTAGCTTCACCTGCCGCTTACTAGCTCTTCCGTTGGATTCATCTTCATCATTGGCATCAGATTCCCTATGGAAACCACATAAATAGGATCCACATTAAAGAATAATAGCAATATGGCTTGAACTGCCTATGTTGAAGTAGGAAAAACTTATTTAGCTCTCACTCATTTCCAAGTTCCAACTCTCTATTAAAGAGCCGTAGAGGACACCTATCAGAAGAATAGCTCAATAGAGACGAGGATGCTTTTTCTTTCTTTTAAAGAATGTTTTCTTATCCTGACAAATTTCCAATGGTTATAGGCCAGCAAATGAAAAGATTTAGAGGGGAAAAATAAACTGATTGATATGATTAACCACACAAGAGGGATTTCAGGAGAAAGAAAAAATATGAGATGATAAATACAAGGATCCCTGCATGCTCCAATTGCATATTAAAGTTTAATCATGTGAAATGTTTTATGGGATTTATAAATGGACTCACCATAGTACTTCAACATTATCCTTGGAGTATGAATTACATGTTCCCCAGCTGAAACGGACCAAGGTTGGGAACCCAAAAACTCCATGTTTGTGATGATCCAGCCAAGCTTTTGTCTCAGGATCTACCGGCAAAAATGGATGCCAAATTGCCCGTCCATTTTGAGTAAGATATTAGAATCTAGCAACATATCATCCCAACTTTAACTGAATGGAAGTAAAAAATACCTCCAGGATATCCAGATCCAAAGTTCCTTTGCATGTTCTCAGCAGTTTCATCAAGCACCCAATCCCGCAAGGCTCGGTCCCTAGTAACCTGAAAGATGGTTCAAAATGACATCAAATTTTACTTTCAGATTCTAGTCTTACAAAGGAAGATGAATAGAGCGAGACAAAGTGGCAGATCCCAAATCACCTTTGCAACAATACTGGCTCCACTTACGACGGGGTAAAGACTGTCAGCTTTTTTTGCAACAACAAATTTGATTGCTGGAAATATTTCAGAGAGCTTCACTCTATACTTTTCGGGATCACCGACAGTATCCACATAAACCTGAAATGGATTTATTAGTGCATTGCTTCTGACAATGTCTAAATAACTTGTGGAGTAAAATATATACTTCATTTGTAAATGTTATTTGTTTCCTTTTTGCTTCTTAGAGAAGTACAGGCATCCAGGAAAACTACTGATGTTTATGTCTTCTGGAGCAATTTATATCATATAGTATACTAACAAAAGTAAAGGTGTGATGACCAAAATCAAGGAAGCTATATTTTTTGGTTAGATATACTGGGTTGTTTGTGGCAGAGAGAGCGCGGCATGCACAAGAGGAGAATGTTGCATTCTGAAAAAGTAAATTTGGAAATGTTGAGGTCTAACCAGTATATGTGGACAAAAGATGCCATCACCTGTAGGACTCTAGGTTGAGCTTG